AGATGATGGCTATGGAACTTCAAGATTATTGTCAACCACACCATCTTCCTCAAATTCAGAATGCAATACTTCACCTGATCGTAGAGCTCGTGGGTTTTATTCTCCAACCAAATCTGCTCACGTCCCAACATCCAATACAACAGTTGACATTGATTTGGAGCCTGATGTGCAACCTAGCTTTGAGCACCATAAAGATTTTACAATGAGATGGGAAAAACCCTTGCAGGCTGAAGTGGATGATTTGAGTATTGGGACTGCAGATAAAACAACTGTATCTGGTGAGGAACATCAAAACATAGAAGAACTTGAATATCAAGTTTACGAGAAATATGATGCCACTGAGAGTGTAAGTAATAATAAATCAGTAAACACAAATAAGAAAACAGACTGCATGGATGAGTTTCAGTACATAGAGGATCATTTTACGGACTTGCACACTTTCGACAGTCTGAAGCAAGGAGAGAATGTCTCTTTTGACCTGGAGTCACATTGGACAGGAACTGAGAAGACTAAACCATGGTGGCGTTCTGCTAGTAAAGATGAGTTGGCTTCCTTGGTTGCCCGGAAGTCACTTGAAAGCTTAGAAAATTGCGACCTTCCTCAACCACGAACAAAACACCACAGAAAGGATCAATCTGCCTATCATGAGTGTTTTGATCAAGATTGCTTTCTCACTTCATCTTTTACTGAGATGCAATTCTCCAGTTTGGATAGATATAGCAGGGGAATGCACCGTTCGGTTGCCATGGGTGAGAGACAGTCTACTGTTGGTTCTGTAGGTCACTCTCTGCATCGTCAAGATCATTTCAGGTATTGCTTGAGTAATAATTCTGCAGTTTTTTTTTTCTTTTTTCACTTATTTTATGTTCATTTAAGAAGTTTCTTTGATCAAGCAGTCTTTTAGTTGGTTTACTTGAACCATATGCTGTCCTTTTAGTTGCCTGACTCTAAGAGTAAGTCATCCTTATTATCTGTTAGAGAAAGAAAGTTTTCTACCGCTCTATTCTTTTTATATTTCTTTTTTAAAATGGAATATAAGATATTTGAAGATTGGATGGGATGAAGATGAATCACTAATTGGATAATGTAGTCGTAACTATTATTTGGATTAGAATTGTGTTGAAGAAAGAACAGCAAGATTAAGTGTCAGGAGATGCAAATAAGGTCGGGATGAGAATCCATGCATGCAGTAGCAAGGAAGAAATCAGAAGCTTTAGGCTCCGTTGGATAACCATTTTGTTTTTAGTTTTCTATTTTTGAAAATTATGCTTGTTAGCTCATAATTCTTTTGTGTATTTTCACCCTTCTTAAAACCACATTTGATCTCTTAAATTTAAAAAAATATAAATATAAATAAAATTTTGAAAACTACCCTTTTTAGGTTTAAAAAATTTGGCTTATATTTTAAAAATATTTTTAAAACGTAGATGCTAAACAAAGAAATACATGAGTGAAAGTAGTGTTTACAAACTTAATTTTCAAAAACAAAAAGCCAAAAATAAAATGGCTATCAAACGAGACTTTAATATTTTTTGTTTTCATGAGTATTCTAAATCATTTTATGTAACATGCTCCCATAAAGCTGGTGTCTTTTTTCGAGGCGTTATCAGGGCTTAAGATCAACCGTGGAAAAAGTTCGCTGGTGGGTATTAACTGTGATCTTTCTTTGCTGTCCTGTTGGGCCTCTGCGGTTGGTTGTTCTGTGGGTACTTTATCGACTTCTTATTTGGGTCTGTCTCTAGGCCAAAATCCTAAGACCCTTACCTTATGGAATCCAGTGCTAGAGAAGTTTCAGAAGCGTTTATCGTTGTGGAAGAAAAGTTTTTTCTCGAAAGGAGGGAGATTAACTCTCATTCAAGCGGTTTGAAGCGGGATTCCAACGTACTATTTCTCTCTTTTTAAAGCTCTTGTGGCGGTTTGTAAGACCTTGGAAAAAATCATGAGAGATTTTTTGTGGGAGGGGGTGGACGAGGG